ATGAAAGCAGGGGACTTTGTTACACACGGCTATATTCTCAGTTCCTAGAATGGTGGCTAACACAAACAGGTACCAAAAATATTAATTAAATGAATTTAACAAGAAAGTAAACTAATTATAGTCTAAATCCCTCTCTGCTGAGAAGCTACTTTGTGTGGTACCCTTTTTTCATTTCATAGGAAGAGCAAACTAGTTACTTCCATAGCTTCAGCCAGGATTCTATACTTTCTGATAGTTCTGTTTATCAAAAAAAATCATTCCAATGACACGCCTCACAGTGTAACAGGTAAATGAAATGAGGAAAAGAACTCAATGACAGAACTACTACTACTACTACTCATTGTGTTTCAACCCAAATTATAAAATCCCCTTACTTCCTTGCCCAAAATTTAATTTATGGAGATGGAATCTTTCAAAAAAACAAAATTACTGATTTCTAGTCTCTTAAAAATATACACAATTTAAATGAAATTTCACACCAATTAGGATAAGTATTATTTAACAAAGTGATTTCAATTTCAGTTGTGAGCTCTGGACTAATGATTTTAACATTTAAATAATTCCAATCAGGCTTTGAAATTAACACCTCATAGACCTGAAAGAGTCCTAAGGAAGGAAGAAGGCCTCCTCATCTCAGCAAATACAGTCTGCATTCAAGGAAACAGAATTAACAAAGAACAGTAGGACACCTCCCAAATCATTTTAAATTCCAATGAATCCTAGGCAATACAAGGCAGATGGAAAAAAACTTGATTTTTAAGTTTAAGAAAAAAGAATTTTATAAACAGGACTCCAAATCAACAAACCTAGAACACAGGCAGTATAACCTTTTAAGTGTTAACCAATCACAAAAGGATGTACATACATCTTTTTAGATTTTTTGATGTTTATAATTACATTTAAAAACTGATAACAGTAATATTAGTTATTACATTTAAAACCTGCTAGTAGTAATATTAGTTATTATGTGCCCTATTTTGTTCTAAGCACTTTAAGATGTATTAACTTTTTTAAGTGTAATACTTTGTTTTAAAAGAATAAACTAGACAGCTCACTAGCAATGATAATAATCTGATAAATTACTTAGCATCATTTAAAATAAAATTGCTGAGAGGCTTGCATTAAATTTTTTATGTACTTATTTAAGCTTGTTTATATCACTTGTTGGCTATTACAGAGAAAAAGGAATGAAGCTTATCATTGCCTTAGGGAATGTTATGCATAGTCTCTCAATCTTATCTGTGGAGGCTCATACCTCCAAAAAAACGCAGTCAAAATACATTGTGTTTTCACCATTAAGACAATCTTTAAATAATCATTTACCACCAAGCCATAAAACAGAGCAGTCAGAGATTTAAATTACATCACTAGTTTAAAAAAAAAAGTAAATTAAAATTATGTACCCTTCTGTGGAAAATAATTCTAACTTCGTGTATTTCAAAATCTAGAGAAATAAAAAAAATATGAATTGATTACCTTCTCAGTGCCTCTTTTCTTTTCACGCGGCTGATTAAGTTTGGCCTGCCTATCTACCAAAATCTTCTGCCAGTATCTCTGTTCATGATCACCTTAAAAAACAGATACAGATCACTGAACATAAGCATACAGATGAAGAAACATATTCAAGGATTTATATTATCAATAACAGAACCAGAATAGTTGTCTCTGACTATATTTAGTGCTACTTTATGCATATTAGAATATGAAAAAAATTCTAGTTTCATTAGCCAAACTCACAAATTATAATACAATCACCCCACAATAATTGTTAAATAAGAAGATTATATGAAGTTTTACCAGAAAGAATCTCCAGTTTCCAGCAGTGTTTCTTTTTTATTTCCGTATATGCATTTATTACTGCTTGAGCATCCTTGGGAGTTTTAAATCTAGCATGGCATTCTGTGTCTCCTTCCAGTAAATCAACATAAACAACTTCTGAGATTGCTGCCAAAGTATCCTGCATTAGAGTTTAGAAAGATATAAAATAAATAATAAAAATGTTTCATTATAATTCTAAAATTATTCCAATGATTGTTAGAATGTATTATATTATTGAGCCATATGCCATTTAGAATGAGAAGTAACTATCCTACATCAAACATTTCCCCTAAAATACATACAAATGCTCTTAAAAATTAGACAACGTTGAGACAACGTTGAGAACCAGTTTAACATCAATTCTAACAAGTTTCTTTCATTCAACAACATCTTTAAAATCTTAACTGGAATGTGAAAACTGACTGCTTAAGAAAAAAAGCAGAATGTACAAATACTTCCCTCCAACCCTCAAATCTAGAAGAGGGCTTCCAAGCCTGGGTGTAGTTAGAATAAAGAGCAAAATTAAAAACAAAAACAAACAAACAAAACCCAAGCGGAATTAAGGAAGAAGTATGTTTCCACTCACCTGTACAAAAGGACTTATGACTTAAAATACATGTAAACTTTTAATAACTACTCATTGAAAAAGTTTCATGGAACCTACAAGATCTTGGGTTCCTGAGTAGTCTATAGGAATATAGCTCAAGAGCTTTTACTCTCTGATAAAATACCTAAGCAACTTCTTCTAAACAAGATGAGTCACACAGCAAGGAAAAGTTCTACCTATAATGCCTGCTGTGAGGGCCAATTAACAAGATTCCTGCATTCCTACTCTTTTTTTCACAGCGGGTTTTACAGTCTATGCAATGTAATTATGCAGGAATGTTACACTAATTCTTAATTCATCAACTTCCATTCATATAACTAAAGAAGTAAGTGGAGAGTCACAATTGGAAAAAAAAAAAAAAGGATCTTATCCACCTGATTCCCTTTACTTTTTAACCCAAAATTTCAAGGCACATCTAATTTAGATTACTTTTACATGTTGGATTTTTAAGTCTGAATTATAGAAACAACTGATCAATACCTGGAAATGTTATTTCATAAGAAAAGTTTATTAGTTAATAAGAAAGATGAAGTAGTAAAAACCTGTGCATCTGTACAATCTAGGGACTAAGTCTTAACTCATTCTAGCAATAAGAACATTGCCTATCACAAAATAGGCACAGGCATGTAATAAATGTATGCTAATTTCATGAAAAAATAATTAAGAGACCTGGAGAGAAATATACTTACCAAGTCTTCCCTGTTCTCTATCTAGTTAATTAGTATTAAATTTAGGCACAAAGCAAGAAAAAGAAGGTATGAAGTGATGATATTTGAATATTTTCATTGGTACTAGTTTTATAATTGATTCATCAGACAGATTAGGTTACTACAATTCAAAAGATATTTACTAAATATCCATTATAATGCCAGGATAATCTCTGGATTTAAAACCCTCTTAGAATGACAAATTAACCTGGTAATCACATGGGCAAGTCACAGACAGCAGTAACCATCTTAGCTCAGTTTTTGTTCCAGCAAAATGTAAGTAACTACTAACTTGCTTAATGCAGTTATTTAAAATTCTGGTGATCATAAATGAAGAACTTATAACTGACTGAATTACCATTTAGACAATAAAAGCTCTTTGATAAATATAATTAGGCCTATGTCAGTCATTTCAAATAAACTTTGAGCAATTTTTCTGTTAAATGTTTTGCAATCTGACTAACCACAGCAGCATTTACATCTTCAATTTTCTATACTTCTTACCTGAAATTCTATATTGCTATCAAAATCTGAAATGCAAGCTGTTAATATCAATTTGGGATTGACAAAATCTTCATGAATATCATAATGAGAATCTAAATTTATGTGTTAGTGACAGCTACAAGGTTTCAGATAAGAGTACCTACAGGTGATTACAGTGAGCAACCTTAATGGTTATGCAAGTTAAAAATGTGACTGGTATGAGGTCTATGCAAAGTCAAAACAACATACTACATGGTGCTGAATGTCAGTGTAAGAATTTTAAATACGCCTGCCATGTTATAGAACATATCACATAGTTTAAAAAGAAAATGTCTCATCTAAATGGGTGATAAGGTTTAAGGATAAATAAAATAAGAGTATTCCTCCATAAAGGAATATGTGAATAAGAAATTTCTGTACAAAAGGCTATAGAAGATTAAATAAAGTGGAAAAAAGACTAGAATAGTATGTGTAGTAATTTGAAGTGTAAATTGTGAACTATAGATTTATTTGTACATGCTGGCAAATTTTTTCTTCACACTTTTCTGGAGTTGCTTCAAAAATTTTAAATAATCAGCATGAAAATATCAAAAAAATTAAAAAATAAAAGTTAAAAAGGCTCTTCCCCTCCCCCGAAAACCTGCATTTCTTTCAGGAAAAAATTTCAGTTCCCAGGAGGATTCATTAACTCACACAAATAAACTAAACCCATGGTAAGTGAAAAATATGCATATTATCTCTTTTATTCCAAACTAGTGCTGTTTCTAAGTCACAAAATCTTTTAGGAATCTACTGAAAGTTAAAAGCTCTAATGAAAACAAATTACAAATTCTCTAGTTTGTCCCAAACCAGACAACACCAGTTGATTACAATTTTATTTTAAAAATAATTCCAGACCAACTCTAATGTTGATTCAATCTTTCAAAAAGTTTTTTTAAAAAAGCACTTTGTATTTTCCTAAAATCCAGTTTGTCTGGATTTTTCCGAAAACAGAAAAAGTTCCCTAAAAAAATGAATACTGGGAAAGCATTTTACTTTATCTACTCTTTTAGTCATAATGACTATAGTATGGTTTCCTCATGCAACTATACAACCACCATTGGGGTACCAACAAAAGTAAGCACAAACTGCAGTTTTCCTACCGAAGGATTAAACTATGCACTGTAAATTTGATCCAGGGAGGAACTTTCGTCTGTAGAATTTTCTTCAAGTCAAACTTAAGGGTTATTGTGGAATCAAATGCAGTTAGTTTACCACTGGAAAACGAAATTCTAATTTGATTTGCCTGTTTTCCATATTCAAAACATTTTTACATGGGGGAATTTTTAAGAGGAGAGAGGCAACTACCCTGGGGATTCAAAAGCATTACCCTGACTTGTTTCCTGCCAGGTAGAGGCTCAGTACTAATGATCTTCACAATCACACCACTCACAAACTGTGGTCCTGCTGCATTAACCTTCTCCTGGGGACAACTGTCTTCACTGTTTGCTGGTGATTTGAAAAGAAAAAGATCAGAAATTAATCTCTTATACTTAATAATTTAACACTTCGGAGGCTCACTTTCGAAAAACAGTAATAGCTTCTCAGGCTGATTTAAATAATTAAATGGACTCACAAAGTTATTACATTGTAAGTTACACTACTTTCTGTAGATTATCATGAAGTAAAATATAAAAACTTTTACTATTGTAGGTACAAACTTCTATCATTAGAAGAGCACTTGTAAAACCTTAAAAAACAAGTGCCCCCTTTCACTGAAACAAGTAACAAAGTGCTTTACTCAATAAAGAACTAAACAGGCATAGGATAATGTATTATATAATATATTATATATTGAGAACATTTTATATAAATTACTTATATTTTCAACTTACAGAAATTTAAAATTTATCCTAATATCTAGGATTTCATGAGAATCTTGTTTTAATTTGTCCCTGTTTGTGGTTAACACCAAGGAATAAAATGACAGGTGAGAAATTACCTATCTTTGTTTTCACAAACCTGTTCAATTCATAAACTAGGTACTCACTACTAAATCTGATTAATAATGAAAAGTGTAGAGAAAATTTACGTGATTAAAATTCTGTTTAAAATGAGCCAAGTACTCTTATATTAAGAATAAATCACACATCTGAACATCTTCACAAATCAGGAATTGTACTAATAACCGTTGTATAATCAAGTTTTCAAAACTAAATTTTATTCAATAGTAACTCACAAAGAGTATTTTAGTATATAAATACAATATAATGCTACAAAAACTATCATAGTGATGTTTACTTTTTTCATTTTTCACTCCTGATTTATTAGGTACTCCATTGTCTGTTTCCATTTCTGACTCTGATTTTATTTGGGATATTGTTTTTTTTAAAGAAGCCATGCTGGCTTTTTGCAGCGCTAAATACTCTTTTTTCAAATCCATCCATTCGCTCCTGTAATGAAAAAAAAATAGTGACAACAGATCATTTAAAGTAAATATTTAAATATATACACATTCACAGTGACTTACAATCATTCCTCTTCCCAGTCTGTCTTTCTTTAAACACTTACAGGCAAATTATTTCCCGAGGTTTAAGTCCATCTGGCAAGCCAGCAAACAGGAGTTCACTTTGCCCCAACATTCAGATTAAATGTTTTCTATCAGCCAGTTCAATTCTTGGTATGTTTCAAATATTTGAGTTTATGAAAATAAGTGTTGAATTAATTAACTAGTAACATTTACTAGAAAAGTCAGTTAACTCTGGGGAAAAATGAGAAAATTTAAAGATTATTTGTTAAACTGCTTCCAATTTGAGAGATAACATTCCTTAACATTTACTTGAATCAAAAGGATTTTCTAAGAAGAAAAAAACACCCCATGGAAGCAATTTATTTATTTACCTACATTTAACATGTAGATGCTTCTTCAAACAGCTAGAGCTCCCCTAGATAGAAACACAATGCCTCTCCAGGCTCTGCAGGAGCACTCATTGTTACCCTAATCTCTGCCATCAAACAAGCAGATAGAGGATTTTTTTTTTTTTAAAAGAGGAGGAGGATATCTGTGGTAATGGTTTTAGCGGTTAACATTGACATCTGTATACTTCAAAAAAAAAAAAAAAAGTATCCAGACCCACCCAGGACCATACATTCCCTGAGAGCTGATACATTAGAATAACAAAGGGCTCTTGTAATGATTCTCTGAGATAAAAAGGCAAAAGGAATTCAGGAGTTAAGAATAGTATAAATAGAAGTGCCCAAAGTCCTTTCCTTTTACCCTTCAAGAGGAGAACTAGATCCTTTGAAAATTATAACTCAGAAGGTTAAGAAAACTTTCTTCTAAAAGGTACGCGATTTGCTTTCTTCTACTTATTTCTCTTCCCTTCAGTAGATGGACTCCCTTTTACTTTAACGTGGAAGTACTTTCTGTGATTTTTAAATTAGTAAGTGCTTCCATGTTTTAGTAGAAGTGAATCCAAATTATGCTTCCAAATGCAAAATGGCAATGTTTAATTTATAGAGGCCAAGGGGATCCTCTTTGCTTTAACATGGGGGTACCTGCTGTGTAAAACAAAAGTAAGTGCTTCCATGTTTCAGTGGAGGTGTCTCCAAAACACATTAATTTTGATCTCAGATTACTTTTTAAATGTACAGGTCAAAAAGTATGCATGGCTTCAAGTTTTTCCGAGACTGGGCTCCCCACCACTTAAACGTGGATGTACTTGCTTTGAAACCAAAAAAGTAAGTGCTTCCATGTTTTAGTGATGGTAAGTCTTCCTTTTACATTTTTAACTTCAAGAAAACTTAATGCAACTGCTGGTCTATGGTATACTGAAATCTGTTAAGGAACACCCTCTACTTTAACATGGAGGCACTTGCTGTGACTTTATAGAAAAATAAGTGCTTCCATGTTTTAGTGCGGTGGTTTCTTTTTAACCCTCAAACTGTGGTATACCAACTTTGTTCGCAGATCGTGGCTACAAACCATTACTGTTGCTAATATGCAACTCTGTTCAATACAAACTGGAATTGCACTTTAGCAATGGTGATGGAGTGTGTCAATTGCCAGCAATATAATTTGTACCGTTGACTTACTTTGATAGTACTCTTAATGGTATAACCTCTTCTCCCATCTTATGCCTCTCTTTATGTTTTTTCTTATGCTTCCTTTTTGCTTTTAAGAGGGATCCATCTTTTATGTCTCCAGTATCCTTTTCCTCCTCAGTAGAGACTTCTAATTCTAAATTAAATAACAAGTTAAGAAATAAGCACTTAAGAAAATAAGTTTATCTAATCCTAACCTTAAAGTTAGAAATACCTTTGCTTTCTTTGCAAACTTCTGAAGCTTCTTTTTTAATGTTGTCTTTTGGAGCCATTTTTTTAACTTTTGATTTGGGAGCTAGGCAATCTGCATCTTCAGAGTTGCTTCGCTTCCTCTTCCCTGTTTTGACTGAAGGTAAGCTCGAGACTTCAGCTCTTTCCCGTTTTTTCCTTTTCTTTGAGGGTGGCTTTTGGGGTTCAGTAGTTTCTACTTCAGAGCCCTCAGATGTGGTCCTGGATCTTTTTACTTTGCAGATACTTTCCTTGCTTGTGTCCATATTTGACTCTTTTGTCTGGGTGTCTTCCTTCTTCACTCGGCCTTTCTTCTTCTTTTTCTTTTTCTTTTCTTCTGTAACAATTTTATCATCTTATTTACTTTATTATCAATTTACTTCAAGTATGGCTACTTAAATAGTAATATTAAATAACTCACCGGCTACTCTAAGGGCAGGGATGGGCTTATTTTTTACTGTCTTAGGAAATATACCAGGTTTCCTTGGTGCTTCTTCTGGTGGGTTATTAAGAAACTGAAATGAAACAGGCAAAATTGTGTTAATTATTTAAAACACTTGGTAATTTTTCTTTTTCTTCTAGGTTCTGGACCTACCTCAATAGCTTTTGCTGCCTGTTCTTTTGTTTCAAATTCCACAAAGGCAAATCCTTTTGGATCTCCAGTAGACTTATAATGTGGTATACTTATATAAACAACATTGCCACATTTCCCAAATACTCTTTCAATCCAGCTGTGATTAACATTTTTGGGAAGTAACTCCTATGATGAATAAAATATTAAAGCTTAACTCAGAAGATGAATAAATTTTTTCTTGAATATTGAATATTAAATGTTTGGGGATGACAGTTCTGAGCTTTTCCAGAAAAATGTCTTACCACATATACAGTGCGCTCATCTTCATCCTTCGGTCTTTCACCCAGAGGCTTTTTTCTCCTGATTCTGGTGCCTTCTAAATCCAGCTTTAAAACAGGATATTTAAGGTTAATACACTAATACAATATTGTAATAAAATAATAAGTTGTAACAATTCTTACCTCAACAACAGCTGAACTTTTCAGTGCTCTGGCTATTAACTTTCCATCAGTGGTCAATTTTTTCATTTTGTTGAATGACACGAGAAGTGATATATCGACATCTAATGGAAATAAAAAAGTGAATAAAGTTAAACCAGGATAAGAGTTATGTGGGAAGAATTCAATCTGCACCTCTAAGTGCAGTCATGGCTATAAGTTAATGTAATTAAATTCATTTTAATTAAATCTTAAGACAAATTTGACACCCCCCCCACGAGTCAAAGGTGTTTTGGGATTCGGACTAGTTAAAATGTCCGAATTCTGCACATGCCTACCCATTCTCAAATATACATGGTATAAACATTTTATTAAAGTGTATTTTTTGAATGATTTGGGGAAAAACTGCTTTTAAATTGCTAGAGGTCAATTTTAAGAAGTGAGCTACACTTAGTTTATTAGGCAAAATTATTATACACATTACATTATAAAAATACACTGTATAAACTGTTATTTGTGTATATATCATGCACTGCATACACATGGAATTAACACGAAGTAGATAAATAAGTAGTAACAACCTTTAAAATTGGTTCCATTATAATCTGAAGCAAACTTACACCCATCTCTAGATTTTTCTATCTGCTCTCGAAGAAACCTATCCTTGTGAAGATTTGCATCTCCAAACCAGAAGTCCACTTGTTTAGCAATATCTGCAAGCACCTGTTTAACTCGAGACCTTTTTTTTTTTTCTACTTCCTTTTTCTTTTCGGTGCTTTCCTCTTCCATTGCCTTTTCTTGATTTCCACTTTCAGTTTCCATTGCTGTCAATAGGAAAAGTAAATATTAAATCACTACAGATAATTAGTAATATAAAAAAATAGGCCCTTGTTTGAAGTAGGCAGACTCAAGCTTGGCTGCCAGAGAGATTTTTGCTAATCAGCCAAGGAAACTTTCATTGGCCTCTTTTTAATCATTCAGTTCTCATTTGGCCCTTTGCTTTTTATTTTTTAATGAAATAACCTATTTTGTGTATCATAATTTACAACTTGTCTTAATGTCTTAAAACTGCAGGGTCAGATTATTTTGGTATAATTTGTCTACATTTATATCTCACCAAGCTACACCTGTCAGTCAAGTCAAGGTATAAAATTAAGGAAGAGATTTCACCAAATCACAAAGTTATTCATATTTTAAAATAAAACCTCCAATGAAATAAAAATAAAGTTGATTCTTTTTTAAAATGTTAATTTCTGTTTACTAGTGGTCAGTTGCAGAATCCATCTTTTTAAGATGAACTTCCTGTCTGTTTATTTCTTGGACAGCAATTCTCAATCTCCTTGTTCAAGTTACTTTGCATGCTCCCTCAGCTCTAGCCATACTGGTCTTCTAGCTGTGGGTAAAACTCGGCTGGCAAATTCAGCTGAGGGCTTTTGAACCCCTAGATAACATCGCTTGCTCCCTTGCTTGCTGAAGTCTTAAAATCATTTCTAGACAGATATAACTCTTATCTCCCCTGCCTTATTTTTCTGCATTGCACTTAACCTTCTAAGATTACTATAAAATATGTTTATTCTTTATCCTTCCTAGAAAATAAGACTGATGAAATCAGATTTTTGTCCGTTTTCCTTAGTGATGCATCCTTAGTCCCTGATACATATCTACTCAAAAGAATTGTTGAATTTGTTGTGTCATCTTAACTGAATCGCTAAAGGTACATACACAAAAATGTATATGAGGGAAACCTTAACCTCAGGCCTGGGATGATAATGCAGTGCAGGCTTGCCTAAGAATAAACCTCCGTCTTCTGTAACATGGTTTTCTTAGAAACAGTTAAGCCAAGTGGAGAGACTTTTATTTGTCTCTGATGCACTGGGGATGGAGCTGCTATAAGTTGGTATGCAGGCCTTTAGGCCTGTGACCAGAATGACATAATAGGTTGGTGGGCAAAAGGGGCTAAAGCTTTTACATATTAAGGTGATTCAAAACACCTTTGCCTTTATCTGTGGAAGCCATACATGTCTGTTGCAGATAAAGGGTGAAAAAAGCAGTAGATTTGGGTTCATTGCTGGGGCTGGGCCTCCAGATCAGATGGAGATTCTGTCCTCACTGTATCTTCTGCTTTGTACTCTTAAAAATTCAGTGAAAATATTAGATTAAAGCCTATTTGTGTCTCCTAAGTCTGTCAGCGAGAATCGGCTGCAGACAGAAACAGAATAACGTGTTTCAAAATGACATCCATTAAGAGGGTACGAAGCCACTAAATACATTTCAAATCTCCAACTAAACATGAATTCTCACCAAAATTAACAGAATATTTTGGTATTTTAGAAACAGGCTTTTGTCAATCAGCCAAGCACCAATTTTAAAAATATACAAGTCATGAAGTATTTAGATGATGCCAGCCTAACTCATAAGATGGAGGTACTTGTCAGAATTAATTATTAAAAACAATCAGGTGTGATTTAGTGCTACATAACCACATTCCGCACCTCACGCTCTCACTTCCCATCATGCTAATGAAAATGAAAACAATGATCTCCACTGTCTGCTTGACCTCTGAGCACCATTCACAGGTGGTAACTCCCTCAATGAACATTTTCCTCATTTGGCTTCCTGGAGAGTTTTCTTCCTTCTCAGTTCCCTTTTCTGGACCCTCCCACTCTGCTCTCCCTTTACCTACTGCCTAGGGCTGAATTCAGTCCTGGGCTCCCTTGTTTTCTCTCTCCTGGGTCTCTCCTGGGTTCCCTTCTTATCTGAACAAGCATCCTTTCTGAGGGTCTCTGGCTTTAAGCTCCCTGGCTCTATGCTGATAATATTCTCCAGCCCTAACCTCTCCCATTTAGCTCCCCATTCCAACATTCAACTACCCATTTGATGTCTTCACTTGTTTATCTAAAGTATATCTCAAGCTTAAATAAACCTAGTTACCTCTTCCCCTTAGGAAAAAAAAGTGTATCTTAAACTTAAATGGCAAAAATTGAACTCTCAAGTTTTAACAAACCTATTTTTTGTCTAGTTTTCCCCATCTCAGAAAACACCAGTGACAAAATTGTTGGCAGGGTAAAAAATAATGAAATCCTCCTTAATTCTTCTTTCCTTACACCCCACAGCCAATTCATTAGCATTTTGGTCAACTCTACCTTTACAAAATATATCCTGAATGTGAATACTTGTCATTTCTTCCATCGCAACCCCAGTTGCAAGCTACCACAGTGCCTTGCCTGGACTTATGCAAAGGCATCCTAACATTTGCCTGCTTCTACTCCTCTTCCATTATCATCAGTTCTCCAGATAACAGCCAGAATGATCATTCAAATGTGCAACTAAAATCATGTCAATCTCTTGAACAAAACCCTCCATGGTTTTCTTATTATACTCAGAATAAAATCCAAAATCCTTACTATGGCCAATAGGCCCTATTCGATCTGGCCTGCGGCTCTTGCTCTAACTTCATCACTCACAATTTCTTCCAGAGTGCTCATTCCAACCACAGCACACCATCCTTCTGTTCCTTAAACATGCTAAGGCCATTTCCATCTCAAGACTTTTGGTCTTGCTGCTCTCTAGCCTGCCTGCCACACTGGTAGGGATAACCTTCTGTTCAGTCAGGTCTCTACAAATGCCGCTTTCTCAAAATTAGGCTTTCTCTTTCACCCACGGAGTTGGGGGTAGGGTACAGCTCAAGCGGTAGAGCACATGCTTAGCATGCATGAGGTCCTGAGTTAAATCCCCAGTACCTCTATTGAAAAACTAAATAAAAAAATAAATAAACCTAATTACCCATCCCAAATAAATAAATAAAAATAAAATTCCCTCCCTCAACCTTAACCCTCCCTGCCCTCTCAGTCCCCACTTCCTATACTTGTGTCCTTTTATCCCACCTGGAATTATAGTTTTATGGTCTGTCCCACTAGAATATAAACACTATGAAGGTAGGACTTCAGGGTGACCACAAATTTAGCATTTATTGAATAGTTACATAATATATCTAAAAGGATCTAATAAACTGAAAAGTGTTAAGCATTTCAAGTTATTTTGTAAAGGGGTAGGACTACAGAATTACAAACTACAAATGTAGGCTATGACTGTCACTACAGCAGGATCCACCGCTACCCTTCCCTTCTGGAAAAACTACAAATTATAAAGGGCAGACTACCAGCTCTTTAATTCTTTTCACTGTCAAAGCCACTATTTAAGGAAATAGTGGACAGAACTGCATAAGCACAGAAAGTCCCAAGTCTCCCAGATGTCAGACGTTTCTCATCATTCTCATATCTCAGATACTCTCCTTCTTTCCTTCTAAGGATTTTCTGTGGATTGGAGAATTAAGTTCAGAACACCTTGTCGAGTTTGAATAATAACTTTTCTGCAATTTTTGATCTTAAAAATATATTCTGTAGATAATCATTTTAGAGTAAGATATGGATTAAGCAGCAAATAACAAGCCATGGTACAAATCTGCTTCCCCACACAATGGTTGAGGGAAATCAGGAAGTTGTATGGCAGTACTTTTGTTACAATTTTGATCTTCAAGGTTTACTTTCTCAGTGTCCCATGATAATAAATGTGTGTTGTCAATCCATACGCTCCAAATCAAACTCATTATCTTTCTTACCCATGTCTGTTCTACTCATCATCCTCATTTTATCAAGGCTGACATATTCCACTTAGTTAACGAATCAAGCTATTTACTAGCTGTATGGATTTTGAACAAGTTACTTCATCTTTCCATGGTCTATAAAATACGAACAGAAATTATACCCACATAATAGAATTGTTTTAAGAATTAATCAAAATAATGTATATAAAACAATTTTCATTCCTGTTATATAGCACACACTCAATAATACATAACCATTATTATTTATCATTTTATCATTTACCAATCTGTCATTAAGTCCTATCATTTCAAACTTTGGAATGACTCTTATCTCTACCCAGTGTTTTCCACAACTACAGTCACTGTAATATGGAAATAGTTTATAAACTGTTCTAGAAATCACCCATCCTTCACATAAGCTGTGTAACCTGTCTAAAACACAAAATTTTGTGACTCTGATGTCAAAACTTTCAACGTTAGAAATTCCTTTTTTGTAACATAACATCTGTTTTTTTAAAAAAATTGTTAAACGAACCACTGGCTTCAGGAGCTTTAAACAAAAAATAAAAGTTACCGTGTAACAATGCCAGTTACTTTACATACATTGTTTTAAATCCTCAAAATCCTTCTAGGTTGTTTCTTTTAACAAAGGCTCAAAGGTTAAGTGGCTTGTCTAAAGCTAGCTGGGTAAGTAAGTTCAGGTATGTTTGACTCCCACATTGACCATCTTTTAGTAAAATCTCCTGCAACCTGTCACCATGCAGTCTATGTTCTGACTCAGGAATTCTTAAGCTGAAGCCCATGGAATTTGGGGTGGGTTTTAAGAATTCTTGTGAATTCCATGAAATTTTTAAAAGATAAATTTTAAGGAAAGATAAAACCATGACTTTTGTACAAATATAAAATGAACACGTCGAAGATTTTAATTTAAGCAATTAACCAGGGAACTAAGCGTTAAAAACCACTTCAAAGAAGAATTCAAAAACTAGACACACACAAATACAAGCAATCAGGAATGTTGAAATAAATTTGTTAATAGATGCAATTACAATCTGGGCAATAATTGCAAGATTAGTTTCCATTATTATTGTTTTCTACAACTTCCACATTTGTAAAATAGCTCAAGACAGTGGAAGTCTGAGATAATCTGGGAGAGTAAGCTAGATAAGACATCCAGTATATATTTTTTCTTGGCCATTTCAACGTCTTTCACAATTTTTCAAAAAAAATTATAGCAAAATGTTTTAACATGTGCATGCATTTTCCTGGAGTTTCATCCATAGCTTTTCATGTTTTAAAAGGAAATGGTGTTCCCAAAAGGTTAAGAACCATTGTTCCAGTCACAGTTGACTATTCTGCGGTACCCAAACACTTTCCTGTCTCTGCGCCTTTGCTTTAAGTGAGTCTTCTCGTCTTACCTGCCTTATAAACCCCTATTCAATTTTCAAAACCCAGGTTAAAAGGCATCTTACTCTGTAGCTTTCCACTATCACATCTCCCCTCATCAACTGCCTCCCCATCCGTTTTCCCTTAAGTAGGTCTATTAACGCATTCAGTATACGGTGTCTAATGCTTATTTTTCGCTAGCTTCCTCCCATAATTGAATTTTCAACTCTTTGAATGACAAGGACTAAAGTCCTGAAAAAAGAAAATGACTTAATTTTAAAATACAAGTCCTCACATAAGCTATCCTTTGGCCACCAAAACTCAAAAATTTCCCAAGTAAAGCATTTTCCCCTTTGACTAGTGCCCCTCTCGGTACCCGTCCTTCCGCGCGGAAGCCGCCAAAAGCGGGACCGGCCCCAAACCTTACAATACCGGACAACACGCGCCCCCAATCACTGACAATTGGAACTACAAGGGCTGCCAGAGGACTTTTGCGCTTGCGCACAGAGAACTAGGACCAGCGAACTGATGGGTTCGTGGGAGGGGACGGGGTGAGAGGGACGACGGATGATAGAATGGACTACATGAAAAAGGACTGAGAGGAATTTAGACCTCACCCAACCTGGGCGACCGTACAGTCCACTTGGAACTTACTCCGTTCAATTCCCAAAATACAGGGCCAGAGACTGCGTCCTTCAGTGCTTCCCGTCTCCTGATCCTTATAGTCGTCGTTGTTTCCGCGTCATAGGATGAGCGACACCGCTCTCCGATACGCCTCGGAAAGGAACGCCCAGAGGCTGTGCGTCCGTCGTTTACGTCACGGGAGTGGGCTGGCTCGGAGTGTGGGGCGGGGCATCGGAGAACGCGGCCGCGCAGGAAGCTCGCAGCCAGTGAGGAATTTGATTGGCGGTTTAGAAACGGCAGTTCCGGCCGGGGCCTTGGCGGGCGGGCTAAATGTTTGGTCTTGATCTGGTGTGGTCGCGATTCGATGACGTCGCAGACTTCGCGGGAGAAATTCGAGGGTGAATTTTGTGTAATGGACGGGTGAAGTGAGCTTTTTCCCGGGGTTTCCGTGGAGAGGGTGGATAGGCTAGGGGTTTGGGCTAGAAGCGGTGTCGCCGATTTGGCGTGACGCGACAAAGGAATTTGCTCCCTCAGAAGAGGACCGGTAAGGGTGCTGTGTGGAACCCCGATTCGGTCACAGCTTGCTCCGACTCCCTGTGATTATTGGCGTCTCGTCTTCACCGCCTTCCCCAGCTTTGCAATTCCCGTGTGCAAACCAGAGCTAGTTTTGCTGTTTGTTTTTAGGACTGACAGAGTCAATTCTCCATTGTCATTTGGTTACACAGAATCATGGTAATTAGAATGTAGGCAAATAAGATGTGGGCTTCTTTTGGTTAATTAGTTGGACTGGATGGTTTCTTAACAGGCTTTGGGGTTAGTGACTCTTAAGCTTTTAAGTCTGTGAACCATTTAGGGATTCGAAAGATCCTTCTTGTTCCAAAACAGGAGGACCAAAAACATCTCGTAGTACTTAGCAGAATAATAGCTCATATTTTAGTGATAACACTGAATTTTATACACAAGTGTATAAAACACAATAATGTATGTGTATGTATTTGTGTGAAGATACGTATGTATTTCTGTATGTATGTAATTATTAAAGAACATCTGGGGTCTCCACGCCAAAGACTTAATATGCACATTAAGCTTTTACTCGTTAGCGGTGGATCAACACATAAATTTTTACAGATGTGGATAGATTAAGACTTTCAGAAAGCTTTTTATCTTTGCACCTCACTTAAATATATGATGCTAAAAACATTTTTTCTGTTCAGTGGTTAAGAAAAGGGTGTTGACTCTCCTTTGGGAATAAGGGCTTGTCTAAATATTTTAAGATCCAGTTAGCCTTTTCTTTTGAGGTTTAATGTTGCAGTCTAATTTACCAGTTATGAGAGTTTGGACCTTCTCAGTTCCTTTTAAATTGTAAATACTACAAGTAATATTTCTGACTTAGGAAAACAATGGAATTTATTTTGCAGTTCCTAAATAGCATCTAAGTGATTCTAAATTAGTAAATACTGGATTCCTGATCTGTAAATTGTGATGGTAATAACTACTTTTTAGGATTATGAAGCTGATAAATATTATATGTAAAAGATCTACTCCAATTTTTGCCTGACACAGTAGGTATTCAATAGTCACATAATGTAGTTTTTGGTGAATATAAGCACAGAATTTAGACTGCTTAGTTTTGAATTCTGAATCTGTCATTTATTTACTCTATAATCTCAGGCAAATTTACCTATTATGCACCTCAGTTTCCTTTTTTGTAAATTGAATATAAAAAATAGTATCTATATCATAAGGAGTGAACATTGAAAACATTTTAATAGTGTCTAGTGTATAATTGCACTGAAGAAGTAATAGCTTTTATTAAAGAGATCTGCTAATAATTGCCACATGCCAAGCACTGTGTTAACACCATGTAGTCTCATCTACATATATAGAATATCTAACCCATTCAGTGGCCAGAAGCAAGTTGCTGTAAAAGCAGCAGTGAGTGGTATGTTTTCCTGGACCTCTCTGTTATCTTCTTGGGGTTCATTAGACATCTAGCAATCCTGTGGGCTGGAGGGGAGGGATACAGGATATGGGTGTTATATTTCTAAAAGGCAGTGTCCCTACCTGTGAACTTTGTCGTGGGACAAGTATTCATATCTTACTTGCCTCCCCCTTTCCCTCTCCTGTCTCCATTCAGCAGCCAGAGCAATCTCTGTAAAACCCATGTCAGATTGTATAATCTTATTCTTAAAATCCTGCCTTAGCTTCATACTGTATTTATAGAAAGTCCAAATGACTTAGCATAAAAGAGAAGTCCCTCTGAGTCCTGTTATTGCTCGTGTTTTCAGTCTTACCTCTCACAACTCACTATCTTAAACTTGATTGTACTCCTTAGAGTTCCTTAATTATGCCTTGCTCTTTTCCACAGGCCTTTGTACATGTTAATTCCTATCTGGAAATATCTTCCCTGGCATTTTTCCTTGATTAATGGTTACTTCAATTAACAGCTTAGATATGGCTTTCAGGAAGCCTAGCTTGATGGCCTAGACCACGTTGGGTACCCCTCTTGCCATATTTTATTGCAATTACTGTTTATCACCCTACTCTACTGAAAATTCCTTGAGACAAGGAACAGTATTTTGTTCATTTTAGTATCTCAGCCTAACACAATGTCTACAGACAGTAAGTACTAAATATATGTAATTTACAAATAATATGTAGGTGGCCTATTTTTATGTTTTATATGTATAAAGGAGAAATTTAACCCAGAATTACAAATTATAGCTTTATTGACACCCTTGCACACCTCCCCCCCTACCCACCCCAGATTTCAAACTTGAGCATGTATCACTATAACTTGCAGGACTTGGTAAATCATAGGCTGCTGGGACCCAACCCCAGATTTTCTGATTTAGTAGGTCAGGGTTAGGACCCAAGAATTTGAATTTCTAACTAGTTCCCAGCTGATGCTAATGCTGTTGTCCCAGGGATCAAGGGCAGTAGTTTAGGGGGAAAAAATAATAATTTTCTTTGGCATCTCCATTTTTCAATTCACTGTCAGTGATTTTAGATTTCCAAATTTGCCTACAATAACAATTTTATCAATAGCGTAAGATAACTACAGTACTCACTGCAATGATATTGAAAAGGTTTTTCCTTGGAGAGATATTATAGTGTATATTTGGTCTTAGATACTGTGTTATGTTAACTTCATGATGTAAAAGGAAAAATTTGAAATGCAAGTGGGCCATCTTGTGGTGACTGAAGCAATTCATAAAAATGTTTAAAAGTGAAGCTGTTTCTGTAAGGAACCAAGCAAGGGGGAAGAGGGGAGAAATCTTATTTTCTGATACATATTATGGCTTCTGAACAAAGGGTTTGCAGTCTGCTAATTATTTTATATATTGTACTTTTCTCTTTACTTGACAAATTCTTTTCCCACAGTGTGGTGTCAACTATTCTATTGTGTCCTCAGAAACAGATAATTTGATTACACCTGTGTTTACCTTGTGTTTACACTCTGGTCAAGAGTTTGTGGGGAAAAATTGTATTTGATATTTAATCTTTTCATTAGGATTGAATATTCTTTGTCATTTTTGATTTTAGGTGGTATAAATAGTTGAATAACCACTGATAATTTTCTGGATCTGACTATATATAATTTCAGAAGGAACAATGGAATGCCAAGAATTTATTGTAAGTCTTACCAGTTTTCACTATTTCCTTTTTTCTTTCTTCCTTCCACAATTCACAAATACTTTTCTAGATTTAGCAAAACAAAACAAAACAAAAAACCCAAAACTTAAAAGCAGGACACTCAGTTAAACTTGAATGTCAGATAAACAGTGAGTAATTTTTTAGTATAACTGTGTATGTCTCAAATATTGTCCTATGTTCTATGTGGCAACCCTATATTTTGCCTGCTTTCATCTTGGTTATACAAAGTCCTTTGGAACAAATTCTTTGGAAGCTTGGGACTTCTTTCTCTTGAAGAACTGGCATGCCTCTTCTATCTAGATTAGTGGTCCTTACCCTGTTTGATCTTAGGACCCTTTCATACTCTTAAATTAAAATTATTGAGGATCCCAAAGAATTTTTGATTATGGGGCTATATCTATTGCTGTCTTTCATATTAGAAATTATAATGAAAGTTTTAAAAATGTTTATTAATTCACTAAAAAATAGTAAACCCATTATATTTAACATAAATTATATTTTGTAATGAAAAGTTTATTGTTCAAAAATAGTAACAGAAAAAAGCATATTGTAAAGAGTAGCATTGCTGTACATTTTTGCCAAATCTCTTTGACATTTGACTTAATAGAAGACAGCTAGATTCTCTGATCTGCTTCTGCATTTAATCTGAAATTGAATCTTGCAGTATTGCACATGTTTAACCATGGGAGCCTCCACCAAGCATGAGTTCCCCACCAAGGAACTGAGATTAAAAGGCAAATAACATCATGAAAATAGTTTTGAATTCACAGAACTCTGAAAAAACTCTTGAGTGGGACACCTCTGGGAGTCTCTGGACTCCTGGACCTTGAGAACTGTACAGTTTTTCCCATCCCACCAATGACTAGGAAGCTCAAAATTATTTTGTTTGTCAGTTAACTTTTCAGTTTCTTCCTTAGGTTTTACCTCTCTTTTCCCCCTCCCTTGCCTTTTACTGCCTGTTTTTTTTTTCCCCATTGATGTTTTGTGGTTACTGTTATGATATCTGTGCTTTTATTTTGATAAAAGAGATCTTAAATATGTTTTATATGTAGGAAGAGTATAAAAATATGTAACATTTAATACCTATAAATGGAAACCATTTCTTTCCTTTGTACTTTTGGAAATAAGGTACTATATACTCATCAAAAGATGAAGAAGTCAAAAGTGTGGCAAGACGGAATTCTAAAGATCACTCACTTAGGAAACAAAGTAAGTGCAAAGCAGTTGACTGCAGAGCCCAAGAATTGGGTTCTTGCCTTTTGACTGAATATTAAAAAAACTCTGTGGATGATAAAATCTTAGATATGTCCATAAACTGACATGATGTGAAAACAGAAGTTGTCAAATGATTCCCACATCACAATGATTAACTTGAATTATAAAATTTCAGTTAATACTATTTCATATGTATTGATTTTTTTGTTTGTTTTTGAATTAGATTTTCTTTCTTTAGAAGCTTTTCAGGAATTTTGGCACATTTTTTCTTTGTAGATAGTAAGAGTTTAGCTATACAGAAA